TCAGAGTCTAGCAAAATAAGCTCAACACTTAATGCAGTCCCGTAATTACTGTAGTTAATTACTCCAAGTGTTGCTGCAGGATAAGTTCCATCATACAGTAATGGTTGGTTTTATAATTTGGCTACATAAGAAGCAAAAGAAGAAAGAGACCTTATATCTATCTCTCAATAAACAGACTAAAATCCCAAGGGAACAACTGTTCTCATAAATCATAAACGGGGTTTGCTAAATACTGAGCAAAGACTACGAATATTGCATCGACGGTCAAATAATCATCTCGAGTTGCTGTTAGTTATCGTTTAACTTGATGAGACTCAATAAACTGCTCAAACCTCAATGGTCTGCTTTCCACTGACACAAGCTTCATTGAAATTTCCCTCCTAATGCTGAACTATTGCTCTCGTAGTCCACTCCAAACAACTATTTTGTGATACTTTGAACAACTTTCCACATAGCAGTACTCTTGATTTCTGAATGATGTTTTTGTTTGTCTGTACTGCTGTGCAGCTAACATTTGGACGGTGTATGGTGATACCTCTGAGGACATGACACCTTCGATACATCCTTAAATGATGGGGAAGTAAAGCACAAGAAAACTGGCAACAGATGTGTGATTGTGATATTTTGGCGCAGGATCGTGTATTTATACAGTGTTCAGTGTTTACTACTTCAAGTTAGATCACCTGGCCTGCTGCTCTGTGTAGTTTACTATATACAGTGTAAGCTGTATAGAATAATCGTGCTAGTGGTTTCACATGCAATCTAAGGTGTATTTGAACTTTATGGATAGTTTGGTATTGTCTTTCTAAATGTTGCTGATCTTTCATATCTAAAATTCGTTTCCTGTGTAATTTTTGTCAATGATCCTGGTCGATACTTTTAACGTTTCCAAAGACCATTATCTTTGGCACATTGTAAAACGTATCTTTATTGCAAATAACACCGCGTTCGACATCCATGTAAGCAAAGTAGCCAAAAAGCAACCTGATCTTGTTGAGCATAATGGTATAGAATGATACATAGTCCAACATGATTGTTAGTATCTGAGTAGTTGTTCCATATTATAAAGCTACGCTATACAGGTTGTAAAGAGGATGGCTGGTACTTAATTTGCCTGAATGTAAATATAACGGCACATGCTTAGAAAACGTTTGTCATCCATCACATTCTGCCAGAAATATAACAGGGAGTACATTTTATGGAGTTTAATTAATAAAATTCATTATATTAGAAAGCGTTACTTTTATCTTGTAGTCTGCTTTATTCCAGAACAATATAAGCAGAAATATTTGCCAGGAAGAAAATCTATCTGGACTCACGCCATTTTATATTAAACTTATGAATTTACATGTCTTATAGAATGGTCATAGATTTATTCCACTGAGATTTGAGTTTTTTGAATAGACTAATATAATTTTTCACCTTTTCCCTTTAATTCATATATATAGGACGGATAATGATGTTTACTTAATGCTGAAGTATCAGAGCAATGAGTAGTATTAGATGTCTATACTGTGAGCTCAAAAACTTTTATTAGGTTTTCCCTTTCCTACTAGTTCTGAGTTTATTTATATATATGTAACTAACGGTTCACCTTATATTTGTTTTCAAATAAATTAGGTAACCTGGTTAATAAAGTTATTGATTTCAACATTTCACAATGAAGTTAATTTAAGAAAGACACGATTTACCATAAAAAAGCTATTAGTAAACTATGACTATGTATTTTGCTTTTAGATGGAAATAAAAAAGCACCAATAGTCTTTTTGCAAATAAAGGCGTAATATTTTATGCTTTGTCTGTTGTAAATATTTTATGGGGGTACCAGTGTGACTATACTTATGTGATGCCATTGTTGATTTTCTATTCATTATTAAGCAATAACGTTCCTTGTTTTAACTATTGACTAGAGTTCTGTGAAATTAGTGACATTTTTAACAGATAAAGAATCCTGATGTACATATTTACTTTTGAGTTTTTGTATTAACAATTTCACTACTTACTGAGATTATGATTTGAAGAAAGATAAAATTGATGAATAACTAATGAAACTATTAAAAACAACAAATTTTTTGTTTTTATGCCAGAATTTTCTAAGGATATTTCGAAATATTTATGTGGAAATTTATTAAGTTCTAAGTATACCATACAACTGTATTTGTTTATTTGGTAGACTATTAGTCTGTACAAGATTCTTATTTGAATTCCTAACAAGTTGTTGTACGTGAAAATGAAGTTGACGTATTTCAGTGGTATACTATTAGTTTGATGACACATGGATAAATGAACAGTCATTGTATGATAGTACGATTGAAAATACCGTATAAATATAGGATTTTCTGTGAAAATTGAATGGATTATTATAACCATTTATCACATTGATTTCTCATTATGATTATTTTATCCCTGTCTTCGTAAATTCCAGTCGTTTCTAGAGTACTCAAAAACGTTAATCTTTTTTTATGAATGTGCCTTCAGGGTGATAAAAATTGTTACGAATTATTTCTTTTCTTCACATTTACTTTTTAGTCTCGAATAGACTTCTAAATTCATGCCTGTAAAGCACATTGATGAACTACGTGTTCATTTATTCATGTTGTTTGCTACTTGTGAAAAATATTGACAATGCAAAAAATACAACTTTCAGTTTGCAAGTATTATAATAGTGATATTGATTAAAAAGGTTATTTTGAACTAATTATAAAAATGTTACATTATGTGGTGACTGAAGGTAATCGACAAGTGACTCTGAACCAAGGTCTTTGCGATTTTTCCATTGATAAAAAGGTGTGTCTAATCTATAGAGAAATGATACTTCCTGGCAAAAGTTCACATCATGATAAAACAAAACGCACCTCTTCATCCAGTGTCTAAGGCGGATAACTTTCTCAACCCGACACAGATCGAACTCCACTTGTTTTGGATTCTCACTAGAACTCTAGGATATCCATCGACCCAGTATGGGACTCCTCAGCACTGTGCAACACCATGAATCGATTGAAGTTAAACATTACCACAATCGGATGCCGGATCAGTTATCCAGAGGTTGATCATTCGTGGGCGGGACCGAAGATGCTGTGTTTGAGTCTCATGAGCGGGATCGTAGATGGGCACTGCTGAATAGTTCTATACTGGAACGAATTGGTCGTTCAGTGCTTTCAGGTTTTTAGTAGTAGTCTAGCTTAGATCATTTCATGAATTCAGTTATTAATTATTTGTAGTTGCGTGTAGCGACAACATCAGTGAGTAAGAAATGACAATAACGAGAGAACAACAACCAAGAAATTATCATTCCTGGGAATGGAAAGAAAAATTCTTGTATTCTAAACATTGCTTAAGGTTTAATTTTTCAGTCACATCACTTAAGATTTGAACGTTCAGTAATTATGTTTCTAAAGCTACTTTTTATTTTAATTAACTATCCCACTAAAGTCAATGGTTCAATTCGTAAAATGGTTTTAGGTTTATGTCATACTTACTGAGTAAGCCGTTTAATTAATCATAATTTCGTTGATTTTAAACCTAAAGATTATTACTACTATTACATTTCAGTGTTTGTTTGACAGACAGAGACGTATATAGAAAACAAAAACAAATGGATCAAAAACAGTGATAAGATGAATTCATTTTAAGAGATCATAGCTTTTATACTTCTACGTTAGTCATTTAGTTTTAAATAAGAATGTATTAAAAGTAAATAAATTATAGACTTACGTATAGCTTTGTTTTGAATCTCCTTCTCATTCGGTGTCAACATTTCCACAACAATGCATTACTAATGGATTCGTAATGATAGATATATGTTTGCTAATTATGACTGATAACATAATATTATTTTTTGTCAATTTGAGTTTTTACATTTATAAACAAATCGTACTCTTAAGATATTCTACATATGAAGACGGATCACGGGTGAACTCGAGGAAGCTGTAAGACGCTCAGAAGGAGTCGAAGACGTTCCATCCAATCTCCTTTCGGACGAATATTCTAGAATTCCTACGTGTAGCTTCCCGATTGGATAATGCTAATAGCCCCCTGTATGCGGATTGGAGGACTGTAATGATGATTTCGTTCTCACTAAAAACTATAAATACCTGACAATTTTGTACTATGATTGACATTGTTTGGAATAATATTCCTTTCAACAGTCTTCTGCCTTCTTATTGCGACTTGGAAGAGTTTTGGGTGTTCTAGTGTTCTGTTATACGCGGTATATCAAGAAATCAACTTTCAAGATATAACACTACTAAAACTAATATAAAAACTAACATTTGAATAAGGTACCAGTTATTTACAGTATGTTATAAACAACTAATAACACATTCAAGCGTAAATATATTTCCAGTCGGTCTAGAAATATGGAGAAACAAACTATTGAATTCAGTTTTACAAAATGTCTTCTAGCTATTTTATTATCAACCCTAATATTATTAAACTTTATTCATTTTTCAAAATATTCAGTGATTATTTTCTAACAAGATTGTATTTATGTTGAATAGTTTCTCAAAGAATTATGGATAAAACTGTGTAAATTAAAGGAGACTAATACAATCAACTAAAATGAAACAATAAAAGCTATATGATTACTCTTACTTATTAAATAACAATCCATAATATTCTTATTCCCAAATGAATTATAAATTGAAGAGAAATTATTGGTAGAAAAGCTTAGGATAAGTTCTACTACTAACCAATTACAATTGAATATTTATTACAAACTTTTAAATGATCATTTATAATTTAACTGGTTATCATTCCATTTCATTTTATTAATTTTCATTTATTCATTCATTATAAATTAATGTATCATTTAATTTAATAAATTTATACATTGATATCATTGTATAAGATTATTCAATGTAGCATAGTAACTAATCATAGTAAAACTCAGAATAATAATAATAATAATAATAATATGACTTTAAATATAATGCATAATTTGTTTAATCACCAAGTCCCGGTTGGATACAACTTTTAAATTTGAAATTGACATTTTTATTAATAATAATAATAATAATAATAAACAATATGAATGAGTCATTTATACAAAATAATCAATCAATATCTTCAATTTCTAATCAAAATATTAATATATCCAATGATAATCAATTTATTATAGAATGGAGTTTAACTAATCTTTCCACAAAGAATACATCACAACAAATTTATTATTTTTTCAATCATTATGTGAATACTTTATTAAAAAATCCATATAAACGAGTATTATTATCATTGTATATAATCATATTAATATTTGGTACATTCATTAATTTATTATTAATATATACAATTAAAAAATTACGTAATCCAAAATCTTTAGCTAATAGACGAATGTTATTAATACGTGTATTATGTGATTTAGCATTAGCATGGTTTGGTGTACCATATACAGCTTATACAGCTGTATATAAAAATTGGTTATTAGGCAATATAATGTGTAAAATTTCTGCATTTCTTATTTATTTTATTGTTGCATTAAATAATTTTTTACTTGTTGCTATATGTTTAAATCGTAGTGTAGGAATAAGTCAAAATGGTAAACATTTAACTGATCCAACAGTTAGTGTACCATGTCGAGTAAAATGTTTATTAGTTGCAGCTGGATTATTAGCATTAATTATTGCATTTCCTGGTGGAATTGTTAGTGAACAAGTACAAATTAAATTACCTGAAACAATGAAAATATATTTTGATTTAAATACAGATATATCAGAAATGATACCTATGATATGCATGTAAGTTATCATTTATATAATACTATTTAATATGCATTCATATTATCTAAGAATAAGAACTATTTTATAGTATAATTTCATAGCCTGAATCAATAATACAATCTTTAGTGATTGATTTGTATTCTCTAGGAATTACATAAAAACCTATAATTTAATTCACTTGATATTGTTTTACTTGAATCTTCTCATTGATGTTTTAGGACTGAAATTGATCAGTTTCTTATTAGCATATGTGCGTACTGTGAGTATGCCTCGATATTGCCTTAATTTACAAGCATTATAAACAATGATGGATAAAGGCTAGCAGTGGAATCCAGGACGCGCGTTTCGTCTTGTTTGGGACTCGTCAGCTGAATGTGCCTGTATCTCATAGTTGATGTTCACTCTGGGACCCGAACTCAGTACCGTTCTCTTCAAACGCCATTGCATTATCCACTTGGCTGCTGAGTCCTGAAAGCCACTTGCTTGTGCGATGGGGTGAAGTTTAATTCACTTGGTATTGTTTTACTTGAATCATCCCATTGATGTTTTAGGACTGAAATTGATCAGTCTCTTATAAGACACTGATCAATTTAATATTTCATTACTTTCTTAAATTAAAAATTTGGAGAACGTTTATTTGGGACAATGATATCAGGATAATCGTAACTTTGTTTTTCTGAAGTTCTTGAAATAAGCTTTGATAAATCCCGTATAAAGTTATTCTTTGCGAATTTATAACAGTGATTAATATAGTTTTTCTGTATTCGTAAAATCTATGCTTGACGTTGGAAACTCATGATGGGTTCACATAATTACCTAGAATCGAATAACTACTTTTGTAACTTCCTAGCTTTATTAAATAAATTACAGGCGTTTTGTACTTATGTAATCGATGCGTAACATAGCCATTAGAAGTTTGACTCATCGTTAATACGAATGATAAAATCCGAAAATTCCGGTATATAATGTATAACTATTAATCATATTATTTAACACTCCTTCTTGATTTTAAATATCAAGATTCCTTACCTAATCTATTGGTGGATTGGTTGCCAAGGCAATTGTTTGGTTTATATGTCGTTCGTTTACTTTTTCCTGAAACAATTATATTTTGTTTAACGTCCTTTTTTTAAAATATCTTCAAGTGTATTAGTGTACTAGTTTTCTATAGAGCAGACAAATGATTTTCTATTACTAATTACTGTTTTTTGATGTCCTTTGATAAAGTGAAAATTATGTTTTCTTACTTATGTGGTTAATTGAGAAAAGACACTTAGTATGGGGTTCTGAACTTAGGTTTCAAGCTTGTTGATGATCTTTATGGAAGTGAGTTAGGTAGGATTCTTATAGCTCATAAGGTTCGAATTAATAAAATTATTGTGGCCCTATATATAAGAGGATTTAGTGGAAATGGAATTATTCAAAAATTCCAATTTTATTAGTATTTTTACACTCAGTAACATTAGATTTTCCTTAAGTGTTCTATTAATGTAACATAAGAACTAAGTTTATCAATATGTAAGAATCATATTTATATTTATGATGTAAATTTTATATAGTTTATTGCTTTTTCTACATCAAAATATACATTTCACCCTCCGAACTGTGTAGTTAATTTATTTACTTTAATTAAATTGATGCTCTTTCCCTCATGTATGTATATATATAGAGATAATCATGCATTCTATATTATGGACATCAATAAATTTTTAAAAACAACATGATCATCTGACGTGACTTCACAGATATCTTTAAGATATTGCTATATTTAGTCTAAAATATTAATTCGGATTGTCGGCCAAAAAACTCTGACTTACCTTGATGGGAAACCTCTTTGAAAAACAATAATGACTATGATACCTTGTTTAGATGACTAAATATGTTATAATATCTAGTATTTTGTAAGAAAATTATGGGCATTTTCTAGATGTTAAAAATTATTTTTAAATAAAGAAATTAGCAAGTTTTATTACCATATGTGTTTACAGTTTATAACATTGACGGGTAATTCTCATACCCAGTTTATCGATTCGTGTAATGTATGTCTATTTTATAATACAGAGGTAAGAAAGCTTTTGGAATTAAGAAATGGGAAAATGTTAAAAAGTATGATTATTTCTGAAATAAAATTCTTTTCTGGTAAAATTGTTTAGGGACGTACGCTTGGCAAAGTAGTAAATACATTAAAAAGGTATGGTAATTGCATTTAACTATGTGTTTAAACGGATAAATTAATCTGTAAAATGTACTTATAAAACTAGTGATTGGTTATTTTTTAAAGATGACAAATTGTAGATTTGCAATCGGTAACATATAAAAAAGTCATTGTTTAATGATTATGGGTTGAACTTTACAAAATGAACCGTAATAATCAGGTGAATCACCAATTCTTCATCGATATCTAACCGTACAATTATTCAATTCGTGTTGGAAATTGAGGAGATACACATACTTCCTTGATAAATTTATCAGTTAGTTTGAGCAACATGATAGCTAGAAGTTTCTGATCTGAATTTAAATAATTACACTATCATACTTAACATATTCTGAAGTTCTACAGTAAAATCTAGGGTAACAGAGTATATGTATGCTTGCATATACTAATGAAAACTTTCCCCACACTTTAGATTCTGAAGTGGAAAGTATTGATAAAGTTATTATTTTTTAAAAAACATCGTAGATTATTTAATACCAAGTTCCAGTGCATCAATTACTACTAAATTAAAAGAACATAATCTGAGTGGTGACGCAGTGAAATGACTGAACACCTATTAATATTACTTTAAGTGTATTAGTTCTGTCAAGATTGTTTTATTGTGTAGCTGGTATTGGTCACGAACTAATTTTAGTTTGGAGACCATTGAAAACTAAAGACTGAACAGCTATTTCTGCCTAGAATTGAACTTTTTAAAAATGTGGTCCTAAAGGCCTATCAGGAATTGAACTCAGAGATATAAGATGTGTCTGTAGTGAAACACTTGTTGTGCTATAATGCAACCTGATATATTTGGGAACGTATACCAATGGATTTCAATCCAAACACTTAGATAGTTAAGTGTTTTTCCAATGAGGTAGAGGTCCGACATTTGATCGTTAGAAGGATTCGTGGTGAGGATTTCTGTTAAGTTTCATATTATAATAAAAAAAGCTTGAATGAATAGCTCCTACATGTTGATGATGGTTATAAATAATACTATTTAGGATCGAATAGCTAAAAGTAAGGATGTGAACTGAAAAAGAGGTGGAAAGTGATATAATTAAATAATTCCTGCTTTATTAGGTCAAATATTGATGTATATATCTTTTAGAAAACAGTCTACGTTTGAGCATGTAAGTACACCAAAGGTTAGCTAAGTCGTGATTATTATGATATATTTAAAAAGGTCCCCACTCGATGTCATCGATGGACACCTTTATGCCTTCTGAGTGAAGGTATTTTAAATTCCACTCTAACATCTTAGAAGGTCTGCAGGAAGTTCAATTCAATTTGAATGACACCATATTGTGTCAGACTGGTCAAGTAACAATAAAGAATTCATATTTTTCATGACTGATTCTGAAACGACCATGTTTAAACAAAGCACTGATAAATTTACATTTAATTTCATGTATACTGATGATACTTCTATCATATTTCATAAATACCAATATACACCTAACTTACTGAAGCTTTTCAACAAGATGCAAAGAAATCTTCATTTTAGCATTAAAGATCAATATAAAGACAATTATTTCTTTCTTAATGTCGGTAATAGATCAGAAAAGAGGTAACATAATTCAACATGATAATTATCTAAAGAGTCTATGAATTCTAACAAATTTTATCTGAACAGCTCTGTCAAAGATAATATAGAAAAAAATAATTTGTATGGAACAAGTTGCAAAAGTCAGTCACATTGCATTAGAATTATTATAATCAAATAGTTAGAGATTGTACAATCATATTTAATCAAGATATCATTATTTTTTTTGTTTTTGTTTCATTCTATAATTGTCCTGATGAAAATAACAGATGAAGATAATCCCACTATTCTGTTTGGCCTATTTATCAACAATAGCTATTGCCAATACATTTGATTAAATTATTACTTTATGTAAATATGAATAAGTTAAAAATAGACTCAACAAAATGTTATTAATTAATAAGAATCTTATATTAAATAAGTGTAATTGAAAAAAGAAATGTAATCAATGTATCATCTGGTTAACTCAATTTTACTTAGAAGCAATGATTTGAGACCAATTAAAACTCAAATGTAATTCGAGACTTATCTACAATCCATGTAGTGATATAAATTGCTTACTTAAGTAATAATGACATCAGAATAATAAACCGTTGTTTAAATGAAAAAAAGTTTTCTTTTATTTAATAAGCAACTTCATCTGAACCCCCTCTGGGGCTACTGTCGGTCTCACGCCACGATAAATGAGGAGGGTTGGGGATGAGGTTAGCGACCCCATCCCGTAGAAAAGTAACCCGCTAAAAAACCGCTAACCGGAAAAAATCGATTTCACTATAGAAAATAATAATAATAACCATCATTATAAGTGTCACAAAAATATAATCAACCTAGTAGAAATGAGCCAAATATTATGACAAGATAATTGAATAATAAGAGGGAAAAAACGATAATTGGTACAATGATAAAAAATAAATATTAACTAAAATGTGCTATTTTGTTTGTGATTTAATCATATTATCCAAAAGGAGATTTTTAAGGTTGATTAAGTGAGTGTATATAAGCACCAATTTTAATAAACATTCTTAACAAATTGATCAACTTGTTCGTTCAGTATAAAAACTAGAGAGTCACAAACTTCAGGTAGAACTGATGTGTTCAAATTTTTCGACATATGGTTTACAGTTTGTCGTGTACACCCCGATGTCGATTGGTTATTGTTGACCTTAAACCTGTCATTGTTTACTTCATTGTTTTGGTTGTATCTCATGTGTACCACATGTGGAGAAATTCTAACACTACACTTCTACCTGAAGTTTGTGCTGATGATGTCGTTCA